TATGCGTGTTGCGCAAGTATCAAGATCTGGCCACTGCCCCCGTTTACATCAATACGAGCTGGTGAAAATCATTATAAAGTTAGAAGTCACCTGGAAACCGTCACGCGACTCCAAATCGAACGACCGCCGCGAACTGTTGTGATACAGTACCCTGAATAAAATGTCCGAGCAAGTTTCGAAAGGAATTGTTAGCGTGTTTCTAGATTGGACGAGAATAGTTTCACGTTCCGTTCCGCTCGCCCACTGTCTCCTAGTTTTATCCCCGTAGTTATACAATGTTTGATTGTATCACCGCGCATGTTACTTCTTGGCGAAGTTTGTTTCGCCGTGAAACAATAACCATCGGTAGCGTACCGCCGATGTTACAGCGATCTTATTCATCAAATATCGCAGTTTCCTGATAGATCTCCGTTCGGAAAATTTCCACGGTTTCACAGAGTTTTCAGACATTTTTTTTACACGTTTGTCATTCATTGTTCGCGACATACTTTCTTCTCTCTCCATTGTACTTCAGAATGTTTCGTATTCGTTTGAAAGTTTGAACGAAATCGGTATAATTTTATATTTGCGTACTTCGTTGATTTCGTTATCGTTTCGTTGGCCACGTTTATTTGTAAAAATTTAGCGCAAAAGTTACGCGCATGGTTTTCTTGAATGTTATAAATCGACTGATCTAGGATTAGTGGATTAATTTAGATTGACAGTGGATTAGTAGCGCAGTAATCTATAACTTCACTCACCGTAAACTCCACTGATTTGAATATCAGACAAATAACTATTCTATTTAATTCACATTAATTCGTCAAGCGTAAATTGCAATTACAAATTGTTGAAAAATTGCCGAACCAATTATTGAAATATTAGGCGCCACGCAGCGAAGCTTGATAAAAGAGGAATTTTCAAATTAGCGAAACTCTTTGTCAGTCCGCTTTAATTTCACCCGAAACTTTTGGCAATGGCCAGCAATTTTAATTAGGAATGTACACATCATTTTCCGAGATTAATTAAAGCAGATGAGCGACACAAACACGATTCTCTTTTACTGCCCAGTAAAACAAAAAAAGGTGTCCCCGCGTCCCGTGATCTCTTTTAATGACCAACCCCGCAGAACGTAAATCGATACGCTCCGTATCAGCCTCGACAGGTATTCATTTAATTAGCCAGCTCCGATAAAAAAGAGTAAGACAAGTGTAAGTAATCCAGTCACGGATACCATAGTCCCACGGCTTCCGGCATTTTCTTCTTCGCCCGAACAGAATTGTTCGGATAAGGGAACACGGTTTACGCGTGGACACGCGTATACATGCGCGCATACACGAAGACTCCGTTTATTTAAATGGCAAAAACGATGCTGTTGCAAAGTTGCACTCCACCAGATGGAACTCAACATTTTTAATACTAGATTTACGGAGCACGAAAAAAACAGCTGTTTCATATTAGTTTATAAAAGTAACAATAAGATGTTTATTCTGATTTTGAACAAGCGTTAGTTGCCGTAAGTAACATATAAATTGAATGAATAACTCGTAAATGTGTCTTTACGATATGAATAATCGTAAATCAAAAAATTGGTGAGCCGCCATTTTGACGGTTTCCGTAAATCTAGTGTTAACAGCCTCTTCAGAATCGAGCGCCTTTCCGTTTAACGAATTTTATAAACAACGAAACAAATGAAAATCTGTTAGGGCAACGTCTGGAGAATATGGTAGATGTGGTAGGACATCCCTGTCCAGCTGCTGTATCTCTTGCCCTGTCCTAAACGAAGTACGGGGTCTGACGTGGTCGTGGCGGGAGACGACTCCTTTACGATTCAGCAATTCTGGACGCTTCCCTCGATGGATCTTTGTAATTTGACCAACTGCTCGCAGTATACTTTTGAATTAACAGTTCTGTTGCTTGGAAGCAATTCATAAAACATTACACCTTTGTAATCTCACCAAATTGATGGCATAACTTTTTTCGAGCGAAGATCTGGTTTCGCTATCGTTTGTGGTGGTTTATCGCTGTGATTTCACGATCGGTGGTTTATCGCAAATACGATATACGATATACGATTATTCGAGTCTCGCAGTTCGTTTTCATAGTTACGAATTGTCAAGAACAATAAAAACGAGCTGCAAGGCTCGAATAATCGTATTTCCTCTTCCCAAATTCTCCACTTTTTGTGCACAATCTGAGCGTCAATTAGGGAGACATTACTGCACTTTCTATTTAAAAATGTTGTCCATACAAGCAGTTCTAAATATTGGGTTGGCAACTAAGCAATTGCCGATTTGTTCAATGAAATAAAAAATTTCTTTTTACTTGGAACGAAGTCTAATCTGTAATGTATTTTCCATTTTGTTCGATGACCTTTTGCCATCTCTCTGACAACTTGAAAATTCCACGCTCGTAGAAAGTCTGACCTTTCCGGCCAAAAACTGAGTTAAGTGAGATTTTACAGCGTCATCGTCATTCAAAGTTTTACCACGAAGGGAGTTGTCCAGGGATCGAAATAAGTGGTGATCCGATGGAGCGAGATCAGAGCTATATGGTGGGTGTAACATCAATTCCCAACCAATATCCATGAATTTTTGCCGAGTGGGCAAAGACGCGTGCGGCCTAGCATTGTCCTGCTGGAAAATGACACCTTTACGATTGACCAATTCTGGTCGCTTTTCCTTGACCGCTGCATTCAATTTGTCCAGTTGCTAACATTCACGGATAATAAAAAATAACATAATAATAATAATAATAATAATAATAATAATAATTTTATGATATAACATTTACGGATATCATAAAAATAGGAGTGAGAATCATCTATAACTGAAATCGGCAATTACTTAGTTGCCAACCCAATACTTATCCTGTATAAGTGTATGCACAACATATGTAGCATTATCTGACGGCACGGTCGACTTGACACTTTAGCTGATCCCGATGAAGATAAGGGAAACTATCGGTTCGCGCAAAGGCACTGCGGTTAGGGGATGAATAATATGTTTCGGAGCTGCGACTGAATAATGCAGGCAAAATTTCACGGAAGACGCGACTGGGAGTGATAATCCTTGAACTCGGGTTACTATCAAAGGGCCCACGGAAGCTACGTAAACAGAGAAACGTCGCCGCATGCTTCTCAATCGCACATGTCGCTTTGCAAGTCTGGTTAATAAACGAAAAGGAAATTTAGGAAGTTCAAAGGCACATTTGGTTTTCAGATGTGCGAAACTCAAACTGTGCATTGCTGGCTACGTCGTAAATCGTAAGTGGAGCCCTTTCGGCCATTCTAGGAATCCGTAGCTTCTGCATCACGATCTTAGTCGTTCGTAAAATAAAAGACATTACTTATGTCAGTGTTTACATTTGGTAGGACAGATTTAGTTAGAAGAACCAGAGTTTTGTAAAACAAATTATGCACTCGTATGAGTTAATTTTCGAATGTTACTTCGTCGTTCATAAAATAAAAGACATTACTTAAGTCAGTGTTTACATTTGGTAGGACAGATTTAGTTAGAAGAACCAGAGTTTTGTAAAACAAACTATACACTCGTGTGAGTTAATTTTCGAATGTTACTCCAGTTGAATATTCATCCTCTTTTCCTTTTTGTAGATTCTGAGAAACGTTCGATATTTCCTTTTAGTTTCATTGAAAAATATATTCCTTTCAGAAACGTGTTCTTATGAATGAAACATGCTGTATTATTTTTTTTAAATTTATTTATTTAACGTCGCATCTGCTTAATAGCAATTAGCGACCACTTGTGGGATAACATTTGTAGGTATGGTCTATTTATTTGGATACTATCCTTGGGTCTTTTGGGCTAGTATTTTTAAGGAGCATATGAGTTTCTTATTATTACTTTATTATTACTTATTGTTATTATATTATATTTATATATATTATATATTATATTATATTATGTTATATTATATTATATTATATTTATATATATTATATTTATATATTATATATATTATATTATTATTTATATATATTATATTTATATATTATATATATTATATTATATTATTTATTATTACTTATTATTACATTGTAAACGAGTCGAGAAAGTTATCGTACAATGAGAATTGATAAGCAACGATCTGAATGGACATAAAGGATCGTCAATCTGCGCGATAGACAGAAAATTCCATTTTCCAAGGGATCATACTGTTTCTGCAAAGTATCTGCAGGTGAAATAAAAGCTGCAAGTGTTACACGCAATGCGGGGTCACATATTTTCCGCTCGAGTTACATATAAGGCCAACGTATAAAAGCAACACATTCTGTATACATATAACACGTATCAGGCCGTTTTATTTTCGACCCTTGATACTCGAAGGAACCGAAGAAATATGAACGTAACGAAGGCATTTTATCTTTACCTGTAAATTTTATTTGAAATCTTTCAAGGCGATCTTAATGTCTTATTTTATGACCGCGAGCATTATCACGCGAAGTAACAAAACGTCACTGTACACTGCTCTATTAATTTTTATTTTGTGTTACTCATCCACGGGGTCGAGTAACTCCGCTTACGTTTTATATGGCTGCGAAGATGACGCGTGTATCGTTAACGAGTATCATAATCGATGTTGCAATCTGCGTGAACGAAAACTCGGTTCGCCGTTTTCCTTGGCTTACACAAAATGAAACTATTCGATTATTTATTACATAAAATTTGAAATACAATAAACAACCTCGACATATTGTTTCGATAAATTAATTAGTGCGAATCGAAGTATCGCAGTAAAAAATCCAATCTATGATATTTGCAACGGTGATTTTTAGACGAATTTGAAACTTGTGCGATGAAAATTCGTGGTAAAAATTCATGAGAAATAGATCGTGAATACCTACGTATGTAAAAAAAATCAAAGTATTTAATTGAAAAGATCTTCGCTTAAAATTTCAGACAGAATTATCGCTTCAATCGATATCTCAGCTACGCAGAGCTAATTATTCAGTAACGAACACGACGAGTTTATGAAAATAAGAACGACAAAAACAATTACGATTTACATTTGCAAATTCGTATCTATTGCTGAATCACTACATATATATACGTTATGATAATTAAAACAATCGTACGAGTATAATAAATTATAGTACTGACACATAGACGACATACTCAACTATTAGCAGACCTTCTTCCGTCAACAACGTAACGTTAAATAAATACTTGCCAGAAGGAAATGACTCTGGCAAACCGTCGCTGTTGGATTTTTCGATTACATAGTGCTCGCTTCCGTACACACCCTGGAATATAACAATAATTAATGTTAATTGCAATAAGAATAGCAAAATTTAACCCTTTGTACTCGACGCCATTTTAACTCTAAATCCAAGATAGTTTTGGATGACAGTATTTCCATTTTGAATGACTTATTAGAGCAATTTATGCATGTGAAATTGAGTCTATATATAATAATTATGCTTTTAATAGTTCTTTAAAAATAAATAAATTTAATGATGTAAAACATTATTTTAGAACGTCGTATAATAATATTGAGCGATACCTCAGAATCACCACTCGAGTGCAAAGGGTTAAGTTTCGAGTTTCACAAAGTTTAAAAATGTTAATCGTACCGTTTTTGGAGCTTTCAATTTGAAAACTTTACTTATTACTCGGCACAAGAAAAAACACAATATTCCCTAGACAAACGAATGCTCGATGTCGAGAAATAATAAAAGTTAATTGTCCATTAATTCGTGTTAATCGATTGTCTTATCGACCAATTTGTGTATTTAAAAAGCAGTTATGCCAATTGCTCTACGTCAACGTACCGGTTCTGGAGGACACCGATCAGGCGGAATATTCATCGCTTTTATGATAGGAAATGCAACGTTAACAGGGCCGGATAAGGTTTGACAGACATCTATTTCCACGTGAATTCCAAAGTCGACTGTATATTCGCCATCCCTTTCCAAGCCAAGAACAGTGGCCAAGGCCTATAAAAACACCGCGATGAGATGTCCGCTTAAATATAAAGACTAAATCTAAAAGATCATGTTTCTCGAGGTCCTAGTAACCGATGATGACTTGTGTTTGAACAGTCTTGCATATATTTATGTAAATAACTTACCGATTTCTTTGAAACTCGCTTATAGATTACGTGTAATTAATCCTCGCGATGCGGAGAAGTTCGGACAATGTTATGACAACAACATACGTATTTTTAAACTCATTTCGCCGAGTACAGCTTTGATTTTCTCATTGAACCTAATTGCAAATCGCTAATGACTTAAGTCGGTTACCAGAAGACTCAAATTTAAATGATACATTTTGTAAATACTACAATTCGACAATACTACTCGATAATTACAATTCGATAATATTTTATATATAGATATAGATAATATTATAATAATAATTAATATATAATAAATTTATATATAGATTATATTATTATATTATATATATATATATATATATATATATATATATATATATATATATTTATTTTTTTATATATATAATATTTTTTTTTATATATANTATTTTATATATAGATATAGATAATATTATAATAATAATTAATATATAATAAATTTATATATAGATTATATTATTATATTATATATATATATATATATATATATATATATATATATATATATATATATATTAATATTATTATATATAGATAATATTTTATTCGATAATATTATAAAGGGTAACGTAGCATTGATGAAAACGTGATGAAACGTACAGTAAGACTGGGCACTTTTTTGGTGACCTCAATGCTCATAGACACGCTGGTTCCATACTCGCTGTCCTGTTCGACTTCGAATTCGCAAGAATCCGGTTTTATGTACTCGTCGTTCGAACGTGTACACCCGCCATCTTCGAAGAGCACTTCGAGTTCAGCCTTGTAAGAAAAGTGGATAGTTAACATATTATACTAATATTTCGAAGTTCAAATATTTGAAAGTAGATAGCAGCGTCGCAGCAAT